AGATTCTTAGTGAAATCCATATAGTTTTAGGACAAGTTGCCCAACATATACATAAATTGTTATTAGATTTCCATATTTGGTGGTAGATCTCATAACAAGAAGGCTGAGATAAATGGTAGGAGAATAGAAAAAGGGCATCCCACCAAGGCAAACTAATATAGCTTGCTCCAAGGGCAAAATTTCCGATCCATCCATTTTGTTTCAGCTGCAAGAATAATTTTAAATTTTGTCAGGCAATGCTGATTTAAAATTGTCAGGAAATAGAATAACTTTCTCAACCAGAGTGGAAGCAATTTGGAGAATACCTTCAATGGTGGAGCAGAGTATATGTAAGACAACAAGGATCCACCTAGAGCAAGGTAAAATACTATTGGGAAGTCATGCCCTGCCTACAGAGGAGAAGGATTCAGCACTACAATTCATCAAATCACTTGCAGGAAAAAAGCATTAAAGACCTAAGACAATTACTGACCCAAACATCTAAAATTCCAGCTATGGCAAGACCTGCCAAAAGCAGCACCCATATTTGAGTAATAACCTGCATATTAAGAGAAGAATACATTACAAAACAAATAATTATAGGGGCTTTATATTGAGTTACTTCACCTCATTCTCAGAAATTGCTCCAGAAGGAATTGGACGATATGGCTCATTAATTGCATCGATCTCTCGATCATACCAGTCATTAATTGTCTGATAAGGCAAGTTAACTAGTCAACTTTGTGTTATTCAAGCAAGAAGCTCTAATAAGTTCAAAAAGTGAAGTCCCATGTGTTTATGTGTGAAATCATACTTGTGTATAGCCAGTAAGACATGGACCAGACATTATCATGCAAAGCACAGATTTCGCAACATCCTCCAAATTCCAGTGGAAGTTTCCTGCAATACGAACAGATTATATTAGAAGAGAGTTGCCTGACGGCTCAACAGTTCAGGTGGGAACTCCTACAGAAAATATATAAGTAGTAATATCAAGCTGCCAAGAATCACAGACCAGAGGGTTTATTATAACATCAATCTAAACCATGTTAAAACCACCATTCCTAACTGTGGCATCTATGTTCATCTATAGATTTCCAGATTATAACCAGATCTGCTGAATTGCCAAAACCAAGAGGTATTGCAAACAGACTGCAACTCTTGTTTGATCTTAGATGTGAATAACACAACCACGACAGCCAATTTCTAGCAGGAAGTCTTGACTAGAATAATTACAGCTTCCATAAATTCTTGGAGCTGCTGCATAGAAAAGAGTGGCAGATTGTCATGATCATTTCATCCTACTCCTTTCTAGGAGTAGAAGACAAAGTTTGACAGGAATTCATTAATTACTTCCAAAATCGAGAAAGTACTGATGCTAAGAATGAAAACAAAGCATTCATAAGATTAGAACACAAGTTTGTTGATTGTATAAAGTGAAAATGTAAAATGATAGATGCTCACTCTCGTTGCAAGTTCACAGATTGTGCCCCAGCAAGTGACATATTCATATATTACAAATAAGCAGGAACATGCACATGTTTCAGAATAACAGCATGCTATGAGACTTACCAGAGGCAGCAGCTCCACAAACTACTCCCCAGACCAATGGTGGCCAAGTAACTGGCTTTGTAAGTTGAAGACGAATTTTCCATTTATTCTGCACAATAAGTAGCAGTACAGCATGGAATCAACTATGTTAACATAAAAGCCAAAATAATTTACACTAATACTAGAAAGGTTGTTATGCTCTGTTCGTTGATTCGCATTCAATTACTAGTTCTAGTTCTCATATTAATCTTAATATACACAATATAAAATTATCCGTTTAGTTTGAGGTACCACCACCTTCCCCTTGAATCCTTTGGTAGGGGAATAAAGACATGAGCCGAAACATCCGACTCTTTAAAAATTTTTAATTTCTTTTCCTAACGCCATTCATGCAAATCTATTTCAAGGTACATGCAGCTTCTTATTTTCTGAACAAATTTTATAGATGCGCAAGTTTGACTTTGAAGGCGCAAAAAGATTTCCGGAAAGGACCTAAAAAGACAAATCAGAAAACAAATAGATGATAAAGGAAACACTAAAGTCTCAGATGGACCGCATAATTTCTTATCATGTTCATTCTTTTTTCTTGAACAAGAGATACGAAATGAAATCTCGCATTAAGGACTCACAGTTTCCTTGGCAGCTCCTTTGATTCCTAGAAGCTGGTTGAAGCTCGAACCACCAGCAGCCGGCGCTTTATCAGGTGCCTGAGATTTCACTGCCACACAAAACTCAAGTTTAAACAACTGAATCTGAATCCCTAAAGAAAGTTTAAACAACTAAAATATTCAACACAAACTGAAACTGCTAAAAACCTTCATTCGTATCAGTCTCCGCTGCTATCACTGGTAGTCTCCGTCCTGAGAGAATCACAGTCTTTTATTAAATAATAAAATAAAATTCGAGCCGAAAAAAAATTTTAATTAACTGATATAGAAATGCATTGACAACGGGGAAAGGAAGCAAAGCAAGTGAGAGTTTGAAAACTGAGTTTCATCAGCAACCACAGAAGGCATTGCAGAGTGATGATACTCACTAGAGAAAGAAACGGAAGCAGGCGTCAAAAGCTTGCGAGACCGGATTCGGTAGGTGGCGTTGACTTTGGACAGTCCAATGGAGGAGACTGTGTTGATAACTGATGACATTGAAACGACAGAGCTGTAGTAAGGGGACGAGGAAAAAGGCAGCAAGAGAGGTGAAGAAGTCCGGAAGAAGAAGCTTGTTTCTTTCTACTGTGGAGTCGTTGATGTAGTGATAAGACGAACTGCGGGTGCTTCTTGACCGTAGATGATGATCAGGGACATGATGACTGATGTGGATTGATTGGGACCCAGTTCTGCGAATTTGTAGCTGTCCGTAGGAGATTTTGCCCACGTAACAATTAAATAGAGGTGCTTTGTTTGCCTCCCCTGGTTATTTTAGTTTAACTAATTGAAGTATCCTATGCTTTACAGATTAAATTAACGATTAAACCAATCTTTTTCTTTTTTAATTGAATATTTAACAAACGTGATTAAGGGAAGAGTGAGAACTGATTATTCAATATAAAAAAGAGCTGTCATAATTTTTGGACTGAAGTTTTTGTGGTTATTTGTATATTGATTTTCGTATGTAATTGAATTATTTAGTTTTGCGCTTCTTGGTAATCGGCTGCATCGACTTGGTAACCTTTATCATCGTCAGTTCCCGCAATCAAGCTTTTTTTGTTTTATGTCGTATTCCTTTTTGAAAGGCTTGTTGTTCATTACACCAAAGGCTTTTAGCGAATTATTGCTAATGGTGACGAAGGTTACCTGACTTTCGATGTATGCAAAACTAACGAGTTCAGTTAAACAGTATGATGAGTTTAAGGTTACAGAAACGTTCGCCAACTTTAATAGGTATAGTATTGCAAGCAAATAAAGCAGAGAGCTTACCTTTTTTTTCCATAAGAGTCGCGAACTTGTTGTAGTTGGTCCTTAAGGAAGATTCTTGGTGTTTACTAGTTATATATTTTTTTATTTATATTTTTTTATTTTTAAATTATGTAATTAGATAATTATATATTTTTTTAAGAGTTATTCCTTTTTTTAACTTCCTACTTAACAAAATGATTCTTAATATATTCTTTTGGAATGAAGGTTGTGCCAAAGAAAAAAATTCTCTAGTTAAATTAATGGACTAAAAAAATTAAAATTCAATATTTTTAAATTTATTTTATTATGGAAATTAGATCTTTGAGGGGGATAAGTGTTCGCTTAGTACATGAGAACATAAGTTTTTAGACTTTAATTAAACATTAAATTTGTCTTGGTTAATTAAGAAAGAAAAAGAATGTCCTCCTAAACTTAGTAGCTGCGAGGAAAAAAATAAAGCTATGTTAATTAGTATTTGTTCTCAGCTATCCAAAAATTAACATATATATATACATGAATGTCACCGCATTTGGGCAAATTAAGAATGAAATAAGCCCAAACCAAATGGCCGAATGGGCTATGGATAGAAAATTTCAGGGTAGAGTTGGATAAAAGGAAAAGTTTCTTTTATTTTCACATGACAAATTTACTTTAAGTATTATTGATATCTATTTAAAATAAAAAAAGTTGTAAACATTTTTATTTTTATTAATTTTTTAATATTTATGAAATACTTTCTGAAATCAATAATTTTATCTGAATACCCAAATGCTTAAAGCACTTTTACTATTCAAATAGATATCTCCATCGTATTTTTCTAATATGTCACCAACAATTGTCTTTTGGTGATTATTTACAAAGATTAAACTACTAAACGATTCTTGTGAATATGATGTTATGATTTCATTTTGCTTTCGCAGATTCTTACTAACTCTACTTTTGGCTACATTGATATTCACAGCTAGTTGTTGAGAATATACCTTGTGCTACACAAGATGTTATTGACATTAGAGATAAGAATTGTCAGTCGTACGTACTACAATAATTTGAAAATATTTTGTAGAAATCTATTATAACAGAATAAAAACATTCCTTTATTCATTTATTGAACAAGTTTATAAATAAAATACTCTTTTCTTAGGTTGTACAGTGTGCTGAGAATTATTCCCGTTCAATATTTTTTTATTATTGTCTTGGTATCAGAGCTCTTGATCATGGCTGGAAATGAATCAAGCTCAGCTATCTCAAAAAAAAAAAAAAAATCAATGAAGGAAAGAATGTTGCTACGACAAATATGCTAATGAAGACAATGAATGTTTTAGGGAATCTTATGGGAACTTATAACG